AATTTTAAACTCACCTGCGACGAAATCAGAGCAAAAAGACCGGTGATCACAATTGACCGGAAAACACCGGCATAGTCCGGCGATGCCGCTACGGGGAATTTCACAAAACGCCTCCGATGAGACCATTTTTGATTCCTGTTTTGCGTAATCACTGTTTTCTTTTCTACAGGTTGAGGAAAGCAAAACACTCAACCGCAACGTGAGCCAGAGGAGCCGCCGCACTGGAGAGCCCCGCCGTCGGTGAGTTTTGATTTTTTGTATTTTTTCAGCCAATCGAGGTCCTTTGACGTGTTTTTTTATAGGGATCGATGCAAAATCGGCCGATCTGATGTGGATCTATGTCGTTGGCGGCGGCGCTGTCGCAGAAGCATTGCAGAGCCGCCGTGCCAAAATTCTAAAATTGGCCGAGTAGGACCTGAGACTAATTTTGGGTTTATTTGAAACATTTGTAGGTACTATTAGTGTGTTTCAGTTCTCGGAGAAAAACTCAGGGAACCTAGGGACCGCCTGTAGGTGCAGTAAACAGTTTAGCTTACCGTGAACGTTGTCTCATACCGGACGGGGTATGGAGACTTGATAATTTGGCATTCATACCGGATAAAGTATGGGGGACGACTCGCTTCACCCTCATACCATAAGGGGTATGTGGACGACCCATAATTGAGAATGATGAGGAAAGGGTTCACGTGTAGCGGATGCATCTTTATGAACCCCCATGGATACCAGCAGGCTGGTAAAAAGAGTGGTAGTTATTGTTGGATTTATTGATAATGGATATGGATTTATAATATGTACTATGATAGCTAATCATGCATGAAATATTGGTCTGTATGATATTATTGTTCTTACAGGTTGTTTTCATAAATTCCACTATGGTAAGTGAACGAGAAATGATTTTATGATTAATAAATGAATTTGCTAAATTTAATGCTCAATTAGTGGTTTTTCGATTTTATACCAATTTTTACTTCTGTGTCGGTGATATAGTGTGATATCGTTACTGAGCTAGTGTAGCTCATCCTTTAATTAACAATTTCAGATTAAGAGTATTAGGTTCCAGAGCCCGACCTGCAAGAAGATTGCGAGTAGATGCCAGATATTTTCTATTTTTCATTTGTTTCTTTATTTCTCGTATTTTTTTCAAAGAATTAATTCTATAAATCTATTTAGTACTTTTAAGTTATTGTGTAAGGAATGTAAAGTTTAACATTTTATTTCACTTCCGTACTTAAATTATTATATATTTTTTTTAGGTATTTCCGGGGTCGTTACAAAAAAAGTATTAAACTCCACAATTTTACACATCAAAGCTATTTTTGGATTAAATTAAATTCATATGTGAAATTAATTTTGAAGTCTTTCTTTAGTTATCTAGGACATAATACAAGTTTCTTACAAAATGACAAAGTGAGCTTTTATATAAATTCTAATTTAAATCAAGATAATATAATTTAAATTTGCACCATCTCATGGTAAAAATCAATATAAGTTTTTAAATAAGTTTTTATAAGTGAAAATTTTAAATTAGTTTTATGAATAAAGTTTATAAGTCCAAGCATAACTAGAAAAGTTTGAATTTATCGTTCGAGATACATTTGTAACGATAAAACGTTTATAGTTAAAAAGATAATAAATTTAAATTCTGGTAATAACAATATTTGTTGATATTCAACAATGAAATAACAACTAATAATTTAAATTAGTGAATGTGTTATATTTTTTCTAAAATTCAAAATGTCAAAATGTATTATATTTTTTTATTCTAATTTTCTGTCTGTTAAATATCATTTCTATTATATTTCTCTATTTGTTACATTTTTTTTTTAATTATTGAATGTCTCAATTGATGTATTTTATGATATAATTTGTTAGTTGATATAACATGTAAGTATAATCATTTCATAAAAAGTGATAAGAGCCAATCAAAATTGTCAATTAAGATACTAGTATTAAGAAATTACTAGTATAATAATATCTGTTGATGTTTTTCAACAAGATCATTTCTTGAATAAGGTCTAGGCATGGTTGTCTCCTCTGAGATATCACTAGTATAGTACCTTCTCTTATATGTTGACACATCTCGTCACATGAGCTTTTTGATATTGTGAATATCTTTGAATATATCAATTTTGATATTGTGAATATCTTTGAATATATCAATTTGCTGTTAGAATGGTTGTGTTTAGATATTCTATAAAATTAAATAAATTAAAATTATAATTGTAAAAAGGAATATCTTCTAAGATTAAACACAATAATAAAAAGGTAGTCAGACTATGTAATATTAAATTAGTTTCCAGATGTGACATCTAATTTGTCCTAGAGATTTTATACCTTAATTTAATGTAATCATGCGATCCTTTATATTTATAGTCTTAAAAGGTAGTATTTGTTAATTTAGTTATGACCAAAGAAGATAATGAATGAAATTAAAATTAAGCAAAAAGAGTGAAAAATTAAAAGTACACGACAAATCTTATATAGACTAAAGAATGTAAGTGAAAAGATTTCATTATCCTATAGTAATTCCTTACTGTATTTTCTAGTGTAATCCCATTTGAGATTGTTAGCATGACAAGATTGGTGATTCTGTGCTTATTTTACTTTAAAACTCATCTCAGCTGCTGCTACGCCGCTTTCTGTGGATACTGGACTCGGCTGTTCTATTAGAGCCCACCAACACCCAAATTGCAGAACAAGGACACCCAGAAGGTAAAAATAGTTCTCTTGTATTTTTGTTTTCTCATTATTTGAGTTAAAAAAAAAAAAAAAAAAAGAGAAATGGAAATTATAAAAAAAAAACTAGGAATTTTAGGATAAAATTATATAAAGGTTCTTAAGTAGGTATAACTAATCTGAATCCATAATTTCTTAAAAAAATAAAAATTTATTCATTATATATTTACTAATAACTTCAGTTGTTTAATAAAAATTTAAAAGACAGTTTAATATGTGCTTAAAATAATAAAAAACAACATCATAATATATGATTTTATGTAAGAAATATAAATAAAACTTATATGTTTAACTAATATGGTTAAAAAGCTGATAATGAAAATGTCACAAAAACATAAAATTTATTACAGTTTTTTCTTTGAACTTTTTTTTTTTTTTTATAATGATAAATTTATCATAAGACGTCCCTTTTTTTTTTTTTGAGAAAATGTAGATTAAGTTGTCACTAGACACACCCTTGATAATCCCTGTATATATATATATATATATATATAGTGAAGAGAATCCATATTTGTTTCCACCATTAATATTAATATTAATATTAATGTTAATGTGCATTAACAATCAAAATTTAATAAAAATATTTTTTTAAAGGACAGAAATTAAAATGATAAAAAATAGTGTAAATGTTAATTTTAATATTGTAAATAATAAATAAATTAATTTTAATATTTTAATATATATTCTTTTATTTTGTAATAAGACATTCGTCGACTTGATTTTATGTAAAATATTATTTTAATTAAAATTTATTAAAAAAACACTTTGCTTAAAAAAATAAAATAGAAAACTATGTTTATATTAACTTATTTTAATTAATTTATCATTTCAATTTTTATCTAAACTCAAAACATTAGTAGTAAGTTTTTATCCTTTCTATACACACTGATTCTTTTGCCGTCCCTCAGGGAAGATAGTTTTAAATTACCAAGTAGAGCGAATGGAGAAAACACTGGGTCCAGGTGAAAAGATTATTGGGCCATTTTACTAATGAATGGGCTTTGATGTTGAAGTCCTAAAGGATCCAGACTAATTAATTAAGGCATGAGAATTCTATATGATAGGAGAAGGCAATATGTAAAAGTGATTGGGATAACTCAAGATGGTAAAAAAAAACCTCAAGATATACATTTCCCCATTATAAATAATGGCAATGGGTCACCGTCTTAAACTTTAAAAACTGTCAAATCCGGTGGGTATAAGCACCTACTGCAATTAATTAATGGCCACAAAATATATTACTTGATGGGTTGACGGTATATTTTTATAGTTATTTTTTTGGCATATAAACAAGAAAATTTCTTCAACTCTACGCGGTACGAATGGGGAATTTCTTCTGCACACCCATATTAAAAATGCACGTCGTCTAAAATTTTACTTTCGAATTATGCATTTCTCCACCTCGTTCCTGTAAAAGAATCATCAAGAGAGTGATTTTTTTTTAAGGATAAGATCCGTAAGAAAGAAAGAAACAAACAAACAAAAAAAAAAGAAGAAGGTTATTTTACTAATGTGGAAATCAAACACGCATGAGGTGATGGGAATCCATATACCGATGAGTATGGATAAATATAGGAAGCAAGGCAAGAGATTTTTGGAACGGTTTGATGGTGGGTTCTACGAGAGAGAAAAAGGGCAATGCTTACAGGGCAACTGATGTGACCTCCAACAACAAACTAGTCATCCACAGGTGTATCATTCCAAACTTGCAAAAAGTTTCTTCACGTGGCTTTGCCCCTAATTGCTTCTTGGCGATTATACTCCCATCTTTATTTATTTATTTTAAAAAAAAAATTATATATTTCGGAAGTTTCCTTTGTGCGGGTAATTTCTGTTATCTTACTAAAAAAAATTAATGGAATTAGGACTTTCCAATCTAATCACTAATTTTTTAAAATCCAAATTTAAATTATTAATTTTGCACAACTTATTTTTTTTATTTATAAAAATTTAACAATCACATATATCTTTAATATATAATTAACATATAAAACTAATGTTAATGTCCTTTTTTTTTTTTTGGGACCGTAACAACATTTAGTATCAAATTCTAAAATCCTAGAATTTAATACTTCCACTTACCTAGGTTCGGTGACTTTCACAAGTAGGCATGCTCTTTTTATGATCGTTATTCTTTAGAATATATAGATACAAGCATCGGGAGTATAGGGCGACTGTAACGGTCACAAAAATTCAAAAGGAAATACACATAATAATCTGAGTGCGGAAGCGAAATAAAAAATTAAGGTTAACATCCCTTACACAATAACTTAAAAGTACTAAACAACATCACGGAATAAGTTCTCTGAAAAAAATACGAAAAATGAGAAAAATTAAGGAAACTATAAAGCATCTAACATCTACTCGCAGTCTTCTTGTAGATCGGGCTCGGGAACTAGGTTTTTCTTATCTGAAATGGTTAAATAAGGAATGAGCTACACTAACTTAGTAAAAATATCACACTATATCACCGTCACAGAAGTAAAAGTTGGTAGAAAATTAAAATAACCAATAGAGCAGTAGATTTAAACCAATATATTTATTTAAAATAAGACTATTTACTTTTTTTTTTTTTACTATCGGAAAATTGATGGAAACAAATTACAGAAGCAGTAATATCATACAGATCACAATTTCATGCATAATCAGTAACATAAAACATATCGTCAATCCGTATTCATTAACAATAACTGATTATCACTGTTTCTCATTTTTACCAGCCTACTAGTATTCATGGAGATCCCTGCTACACTTGAACCATTTCCCTTAACAATCTTAATTCTAAGGCCGTCCCTATACCCCGTCTGGTATGAGTGCCAAAACATTAAACCTCAATACCCCGTGCGGCATGAGGGTGAAGCGGGTCGTCTCCGTACCCCGTCCACTTGAAATAATTAAAAATAAATTATTTATTATATATTATCATATAAATTTATTAAAATATTATTTTATAAATATAATTTAAAATAATATTCTAACATAATTAAAACTCAATAACAGAAAAAATGTAAAAAATAAAATATTCGTATATTTAAACTAATTAAACTATTAATTGCTAATTCTTAAATAACAAATCAAATTATTAAAAATAAAGTATTTATTAGATATTATCATATAAATTTATTTTAATATCAAAATTTTTAAATGAGAATTAATAATATAAATTTAATAATTACATATTTTAGATGTAATTATATATATATATATATATATATATATATATATATATATATATATAAAAGGGGTGGGGCGAGTTGAGGCAGGGTGGATACAGACACTACTACTAAATCTGTAGATTTTTAATCTTTTACTTGTACTCGCCTGCTCCGTCCAGGACGGATTGGGACTGGGTAACCCCGCACCAATGCCGTTCCTAATTAATACAAACATGTATGAATGCTTTCTAATCTCAAATTTGCATTATGATAAACTTTTAGATTTCAATATTTAAATACTTCTTATATGTATAACACACACACACACACACACACAAACATATATAAAGCTATTTAACTTGCATAAAACATAATAATAAAGTTTAATTTCGTCCATTCCTCTGAAAAATTAAATTTTATTCATCCTCCCCTAGCCAATACATATGTCTTTTATCGATGTATTTCTCTGTGTACGTACGTTAAATTTAGAAGTAAATCAACTGACGAGTTACCCATCTTTCTGACATTTTAAATTCAACCAATTCGACTCCATCAGATGAATAATTTCTCTTGTTCCCTTTTTCTTGTAATGATTTTTACACACGGTTTGTGACCATGGCCGCAGCCTGATTTATTTTACTAAAAATAACAACATTCCTTTATGCAAAAAAACATGTAAAAAGATTGTACTGATTTTACTGGAAGCAAAATTATTAATCAAAGATAAAAACTGTAGAACATTTACTCTGAGTTGTACGTAAGACTCAAAAAACTAATAAGATGAATTTTATTTTCGATTTAAAAAATGATGAATAATATATCCCAATGCCTTTTTGCCATTACTGAGACACACACACACACGCACTGACACACACGGGGGACACAACAAGCATTATCTGGCAACTGCCCCTTCTCAAAAGTGCTTTTATCAAACTTTAAGCTTATATCCTCTGTTTTCATCTTCAGCTCCAGCTTCTACTTTCGTTCTTGTTTTTGTTTTTTCGGTGGCAACCCATTTCCAATGCCAGTCTGTAAACACAAATCTCACCTGTCTTATCGTCGTAATCAGTCTCTATTTGTTTAGCTGGAGAAGACACAAAGAGATAAACAGAGAAAAAAGCCGATAAACAAGACTCCGTTTGGCCATGTTTCTTATTTCTTTTCCAAAAAAACCTTTGTTTTTACCCTGTTTTTAAATCTTCCATGATTGAGCAGTGTACCAAGAACAAACAGCAACTTTCATGGGAGCTCGAGCCGAAGCCATGTGAAGATCTGGTCTGCAGGCATGGGAAGCCGCTAAACCCCTCAATGCTCTGTTTCTTCACCAATGATTTTCCGTCTTACTCTCTCTCTATCTTTTGGCTTTTAAAAAGGTTACTCTGTTTCATTTTCTTCTCGGCCTCTTCTTGTTGAAATCTATTGCACCTACGAGTTTTCTTTTCTTTTTTTTTAAAAAAATTTGAGCTAGTAAGCTTTTCTTCTCGTGGAGAATAATTACCCACCAAAGCTTTCTTTTTTCTTTTTGTTTCCCTAAAAAACTTCAGTTTACTTTTCTGAACCACATACATACAGCGGGAGTTGAGTTAGTTAATTCTCTGTTCACGACAGGGAACGACCCAGATCAGATTTTTCAAAGCGCCCGTCTTGCTTCGGTTCATTGAGGTATAGTTTCTATTTTATAGAGTATCAACGCTGCACTGCAATATATTAGGATTTTAACCTTAAACATATTAAATTTCCTCTTACATGTATAGCATTTTTCGAAGACGTGTCATTTTTTTTTTATTTAACAATGACAGCAAAATACTAAACTATCATATTATTTATTTTTTTTAATCGTCAAATTTTATTCTAAAAGAAAAGCTTATGATAAATCATATAATATAAATCACGGTAACTTCATATCAATAGGAAATACATTTTTAATTTCCGAAGCAGTGTTACGATAGGATATTATTATCAAATTACTGGCAATTGTAGAACAATTTTTTGAAGAGATTGAGTACAGTAAAAAACCCAAGAGATATAATTCCTTCATTTTCCCCTCTGTTTCAAATCTCTCTCACAGAAGAAAATTGGATTGTGTATGTAGTACAGCTCTTTAATGAGGGGACAACCACAGACAATATGTGCTCGTTTGATTTTCTCTACGAGCGAAAATCCCACGTCCTTCGGTGTTCTTATCTCATTGCTTTGTGTGGTAAACATCAATGTCATGACCGAGTTACCCTCCAAAATTATGAGGTCGCCAAGACTTGTTTGCAGTCCCCAGTTGATGACCTACGCAAGATACTTACTACGGAGTTCACCTGAATTTACCTAAAAACCCTTCTCAACCAACTTCAATTTCTAGTTACTGTATCTATATGTGTGTATCTATAGATGTAATTCTTGCCAAAATATCACTCTCGGAGCCCCTGATGTCCGGTTCGTGTCTTCTGACCCCACCGTCACCTTTGCTTGAAAATGAAACCGTACACGCTATTCTTCCAACTGCCTCACATGTATTGCCCACAACACCACTAATCCACATCGTCTTCCATCAACACTTAAATGCCCTCCTGCTCAAATATGCATATGTATACAAGTGTATCAGTGTATATATATACGCCTAGGTAGATCAATGATATTCTTTCACCGTAACTAATTAATATTACTTCAGTAAAAAAGAAATGGGTTCTTCATTTCCTTCCATAGTTTTAAGTGCGATTCTTGCAAGTATCCTCGAGAAAATTTAATTTTAATGCGCGAAAATAGTGGAAGTGTATCATGATCGCTAAATTTATTAGTTGGAAAATCAGATTTTTCAATATTTTAAATAAAAATAATTTTTTTTTTCATTTTATACTAATTATGGTTAATAGGAAAATTATTTTCCAAGACAAGTTGTGGATATGATTTCGATCTTGAATTTCAATTCTACTGAAATAAAACTATATGCTAAATAGACATTATTTTTTGTATTTAAGAAATATAAAAGTAAAATTTTGACAAAATAATATATCACTTAATTCAACTCAAAAACTTAGATATATGTGTGTGTGTGTATAGATATATATATATATATATAAATATATGGATTATCCATTTTTGTATAACGATTATGATCATGTAGGAATGGAGCAATCAGATAAGTCACCAAAGTCCCCGAAGTCATCAGCTCTTATGCCACCATTGCCGAGAGATTCTCGCGGGTCGCTAGAAGTATTCAATCCCTCCACACACTCGACCCGATCCACTAACCCGGTGTTTCGCTCGCCGTCCACATGGCAAAACTGGGTGGACTCGCGCGGCAGTCCGGAACCCGAGCCACCCAAGCTGTCCTCGAGCTCGGGTCGGGTTCAAGAAGTCACAACGTCATGGATGGCGCTCAAAGATCCAACCCCGTCATTATTGTCCCCGGTGCCATCTTCCCCGGCGAATAAAAAACCCACTAACGACACTCACGATCCGACCCGAGGAAAACCGACACCCACCACCCAACTGTCCGGAGAAGTAGGGGCGGCTGCGCAGAGAGCTGCAGAGTGGGGACTTGTGCTGAAGACCGACAACGAAACTGGGAAACCGCAAGGTGTCCAGGTTAGAAATTCGGGCGGGGACGAACCGAATATTAACAAACCGGGTACTTCTCAAAGGAACTCTAGCACTTCCGTCCGGAGCTCCAGCGAAGTATCCGACGACGGGATCGGCAAAATCGACAGAGGATTCCCAAGAGTATCAGAAGACTTACGCGATGCATTATCAACTTTTCAACAGACGTTCGTGGTATCGGATGCCACCAAACCCGACTATCCGATTCTGTATGCCAGTGCCGGTTTCTTTAAGATGACGGGGTATACTTCTAAAGAAGTCATCGGCAGGAACTGGTAAGTGGGAACTATTTTTTACTGCTAAGTAGTTTGGTAAATTGTCTTAATGGCAATAACTGTAACGAGGATAAAATGTGAATCTGCTGGGTCGGGCAGTCGGTTTTTGCAGGGCGCGGGTACCGACCCGGAGGATGCAGCAAAAATAAGGGAAGCATTACAGGCCGGGACGAATTACTGTGGGAGATTACTTAATTACAAGAAAGATGGGACCCCTTTTTGGAACCTTCTTACAATTTCACCAATCAAAGATGAGAGTGGAAAAGTCCTCAAATTTATTGGGTCAGTGCCCTCAATTTTCTTTTACTTCTCTTATTTTTTTTTTATGAGATGTCCTATTTTAACTAGTAGCTATTTATTTATTTATATATGCATTATTAAAATTTTTAATTTATAATAAATATTGTGGCACTCTAATCTTATATATAGAAAATAAGTAATTATTGAATTTTAAATTTATTAAATTTAATTTAAAGTTTAGATCTTTAAATGTACAAATAAATTCACGTTAAAAGAATCATAACCCTAAACTTACATCACAAACGAACACTTGTTTTTGTTACACAAGTTATACACGTCGATATGACCGTAGATGATTTTTCTATCGTAAATTGCCTGATCATGGTGGGGATAAGAGGAAAAAGTGTCCTTCATGATAACCCTCAAGAAGCGAATCAAGACTTGTGGGAGGGGGGGAAACGGAGGAAGAGGGGGGACCCTATTAAATTGTCCCGTATCATCACTGCCCAATAATTCAGTGCCTTTTTACTGTCACTTGGCAAGATTCAATTCTGTGATGGGGATGGAATGCGGACAGAAACAGACCATGAACCACAGTGGTCAAGCACAATTTGACACCGTTTGATCGTAAAACGGACGGTGATGACAAAAAAGTAATTTACAGGATCGGGAATATTGATAATGTCGCTCGCTGTGTGTGGGTTCTTACGCCTATCTTTCTTGTTTTTAATAATTTTTTACTGGTGATTTTGATAGGATGCAAGTGGAGGTGAGTAAGCACACGGAGGGGGCCAAGGAAAAAATGACACGACCTAATGGATTGCCAGAATCCTTGATCCGATATGATGGTACAATACATATCCCTTCAGACTTTATATCTGTTATATATTACATGTATACCTTTGTTCAATAAACTTCATAAACTATATTTATGTTATAAGAATATCACTTTAACTTTTTTTTGGGACAAAATTATTATCATTTTGAAAGTTACCAAACTAACTAAAGGAAATACAAACACAATTTTGTAATGGAAATATTTTGATCCAAGGCACGCAGATATTTCTTTTTTTTTTTTTTTTTTTTTTTTGTTTCCTAAGGTTTACAAGTCCAGCAAAAAAGTAAAATTTTTCTTTTATTTTTTTTTTAATTCTGAACTTACAAGCTAAATATAAACATTCTTCCGTCAACTTAATTTATATATATATATATATATATATATGCATGTGAGGACGAGTAATTAGAAGAATTCAACTTAATTAAATATAAAATTATTAATAACAATTTTGATGATGGTACAATATAAATTTATTGTTGATAGATGTCTGTATCAGAAATCCAAAGAAAAATATTTGAACTTCAGATACCAAAGCAGAAGAAGTTTAAGAGGTTAATGAAAGGGAATGTTGTAATCAAAATGGCAGCATCCATGATGATAGTAAGATATAGTTTATTGTAATCTAATAAAAAAGTTGAAGAAGAACTTAGGTGATTGTTGAACTGTAAACAAAAGTTCAAATCACTTACGATTAATGATTTATACTTTGAATTTTTACAAATAATACGCTTGATTATTCTCTTTTGATCACAGCCCGACAAAAGGACATGGCTGCAAATTCAGTGACTGAACTAGTGGAAGCAGTGAAGCAACCTCGTCCTCGATCATTAAGTGAATCAACGAACCGGCCCTTGTTGAGAAAGTCAGAATCCAGCGGAGACGAACAAACATCAGGAGCTCCTGGAAGACGAAAGTCCGAAAACCTTGCTCCTCACAGAAGGAATTCACATGGCGGTGCCAGAAAGTCAATGCAGCGGATTAGCGAAGTTCCTGAAATGAAGCAAAAAAAATCCGCCCGCAGGTCTTTCATGGGGTAATCTATCGTTAACCCATCTTTCTTTTAGGCTAAGTTCGAAAAACAAGTACAGAATTTTTTATTGAATTCATTTTGCAAATTTAAGAAGAAATCATATTTATATGATAAAAATGGATGTAACATTATACTGTATTATTCAATGTTATTTTTCAATTAAACTTATATCCTCTCTTAATTAAATTGCATGTTTATTTGTAAATCACTAATCAGAATTTCAAAATTTGCTCAAAAGATAACCTTCAACTCTGGGAGCTTTGATTTTCATTTGATTGTTTCAGAGACAGGATCATTCTGCTGCTGGCTTTGTTACAAAATGTAATATTTGTGTTTTTTCTGCGTTGTTTTTTTAGGCTAATTCGGAAGAGTCAATCTACAACGTCTGAATGCTTTGATGACGTAGTTTTGGTGGACGATGATGAGACTGACGATGATGAGAGGCCGGACAGTGTTGATGACAAAGTGAGGCAGAAGGAAATGAGAAAGGGTATTGATCTTGCGACCACACTTGAACGTATAGAGAAAAATTTTGTCATTACTGATCCAAGGCTGCCTGATAATCCCATTGTAAGACTTGAGGACAAATTTCTCAAATTTGCTATCTTTTCTTCTGAAATTCTTTCAAATTTATAACCTGAATTTTTATGACCATGACGTTTATAATTAATCTTCCCAGTTGTATGGATTTTCAGATTTTTGCATCGGATAGCTTTTTGGAGTTGACAGAGTACAGTCGCGAAGAAATCTTGGGGAGGAATTGCAGGTATGCTTCTAAAGTTCTCAGAATTGACCAAATATGAGAATCTTGAATGACTGATAATACATTTGTTGGATATGAGTATCTATCACCATATTTGTATCTGAGCCAGTTCTATTTTTCTTACGTTGTAAAACTCTAGATATGATTACTTATGTTTGCTTGTTTTTTTTTTATTTATAGGTTTCTACAAGGACCTGAAACTGATCCGGCAACAGTGAGGAAGATTCGCCAAGCAATTGACAACCAAACAGAAGTGACTGTACAGCTTATCAACTACACGAAGAGCGGTATGCTTCCTTTTTCACAATCTTCAATTTTATTTTTCCAACATTAAGCGCAAATTATGCTCATATCAAACTATTATTTATACTCTAACAAGTATTTTATACAAAATCCAGGGAAGAAGTTCTGGAATCTGTTCCATTTGCAGCCTATGCGTGACCAGAAAGTATAAACATCAAACCATTCGGATAAAAAATCATCCACCTTTTTTTTAATGTAAAGAAAATAAAATTTCTTCTGTATTTTACTTGTCTGTCAACAGGGAGAAGTTCAGTACTTTATTGGGGTACAACTTGATGGTAGTGAGCATGTTGAACCACTTCAAAACAGTATACCGGAGGCAGCTGCAAAAGAGAGTGAAAAACTGGTTTGAACTCACTTCACTTGCTTTTACTTCTCTTACAAGTCATGTTCGTTTCTCAATTATCTGAGGTTTGGCTAAGAGTTTCAATGTTAGTCAATCTGTTTTTCTTTTTTTTCCCTAACAAAAGATCGTGTCCGGTAACAGGTGAAACAAACTGCGGAGAATGTTGATGATGCAGTCAGAGAACTTCCGGATGCCAATTTGGTACATTTTCTATTTTTATTTCACATATATATTCAGATGGGAGAATTAGAGTTTGCAGTAACAGGTTTCGCAAACCTGCAGAAACCGGAAGATTTGTGGATAAATCACTCGAAGGTTGTCCGTCCGAAACCTCATAGGAAGGACAGTCCGTCTTGGCAAGCTATCCAGAAGGTATTTTTTTTTTCTTAATGTACAATTTTTTATTCATTTTCTTTATTTATATGGCATATCGTTCTGCCTTATTTGCTCTGGTATGTGATTTATTCTCTTGAGAACTTAGACATTCATCTTTCTTAATCGTGAAATAATTGATCTGAGCAATTATATTCGAATTTTGAACTGATTGAAAATATATAATCAATTATTTGTACACTACCACGAACATGTTTTCCCACGCATAAATCCTTTATATTACAAGGGTGAATTGAGTGTAGAATATTAGAACTCTGCTTTTGATAAAATTTGAAAAGATTAGCTACAACAAATTATTTTTTAAAAAAATTAGCTTAAAGAGATTGACATAATTTATTATTTATATATTTACATTATTTATATCTCTGTGCAGATTCTTGATGGTGGAGAACAGATTGGTCTGAAACATTTTCGGCCAATAAAGCCCTTGGGATCTGGTGATACTGGCAGGTTTTGAACAGTCTCCAAATATCTTGTGCTATTGCATATGGTCATACTGTACTGTACTGTGAAAATCTATTAAGTAGTTATATGGCTGCTTAAACTTTATTAGCTGGTAATCGAGCTGACAATTTCTGTAGTTATGGCATTACAAATTTTCTTTCAGGCTAAATGTTGACTTTATTTTCCTATGGCATTACTAATTTTCCTTCAGGCCAAAAGTCTCCTTCACTTTCTCCTCCTCTTATCAGTTTCTGAGTAATTAATTGGATTTGCAGTGTGCATTTGGTGGACCTGTGTGGAACTGGCCAGTACTTTGCCATGAAGGCAATGGACAAGAGCATTATGCTAAACCGAAACAAGGTATTGAGATTCATATTTACGTTGCATCTAGCAATCCATGATGTTAGAGTTACTTGATTCTGAAATTTCAAAACCTGACTTTTATTTAACATCCTTGCATTTGAACTGAAGGATTTTTTAGTACTATTGGCATTCCTTTATGCATAATTACAGGACTCTGGTTTCTGCTGCAGGTGCATAGAGCATGTGCAGAGAGAGAGATTCTCGACATGTTGGATCATCCTTTTCTTCCTGCATTATATGCTTCATTTCAGGTAATTAGCTTATTTGACACAGATTTTGGAATATCACTTTTCCAAATTGGTAGTATCTACTTTACGTTCTAGCCTAAAACCATATATACAGTTTGGGCTAGAAACTAACATGCTATGGAATGTTAATTATTAGGGTGAAGCCTTTTTTTTTCTTGTCTTATAACTTGGTTCCTTCTTGTGCCTATGTATTTCACCTGAGGAGAGCATTAGGGAATGTTAATCTAACGTCAGTAATCAAGTTAGTGTGAGAATCTATAGTTACTTACATATGTTGGACCAGAATCTAACAAATTACACGATTCATACATTAATCAAGAAAAAATTAATATATTTTATAGGCTAGATTCTATTTTCTGGTCTCGTTCTTTGTCCTCATCGTACATTTGCATTCAAGTCATTTTTCTTGGGACAAACTAGCTTAAGAAGGAAAATGATGATTATGTTGTTACCTTACTCGAAATGAGTATTTTGAACTTCTAATTAATATTCGTACACTTTACAGACAAAAACACACATCTGTCTGATAACTGATTATTGTCCTGGAGGAGAGCTTTTCCTGCTTTTAGACAGACAACCATTGAAGGTCCTGAAAGAAGATGCCGTAAGGTAGTATTGCCTGATACAGTTTGTATGCTAGTCCTAGTAACTCCAGTGACTTACAATTTACCAAGTTAATGTTTTTTCTGATAGTAAATTCTTGATGATTACAGATTTTATGCAGCAGAAGTACTTGTTGCATTGGAGTACCTTCACTGTCAAGGTAGTACTTATCATTAGTATCATTAGTATCTATCTTTCAAAATGATTTCAAATTAAGTAAATCAATACTGATCAAAGTACATCCAGATTCCAGCCATCACAGCTTATATTGATCTTCATAGAAATGGAATATTGATCGGGTTTGAATTATTAAGTTTTCACTCTAGTACCATATAAAATAATTAAGTTCGTTGATTGCATAATTAAGAATTGTGTCAAACTTAATTTCTCAAAAGAATCTATCATACAACACTGGGAAAATATCGATCCCGAACTGCTAAATCTTCTGTCTATGAAAAAGGGAAATTCCCTTTCCTTAATTGAGTTTTCTTCTTCTTCTTGAAGGGATTATTTACAGGGATTTAAAGCCTGAAAATGTTCTACTTCAGAGCAACGGTCATGTGTCTTTAACGGATTTTGATTTATCATGCTTGACATCTTGCAAACCACAGGTTCCTATGATCTCCTTCCGTACTCTTTACCGAATTTCTTTTTTCGGTTTCATAGAATTTCAATATGATAATTTAGCAAAATGAATAACAAGCAGTTGATGTGCTCTTTCCAGCTTTTGATTCCTGATGTAGTTGAAAAAAAGAAGCAACGTAAGAATCGGGAAACTCCAATCTTCATGGCTGAACCTATGAGAGCATCAAATTCTTTTGTTGGAACCGAAGAGTATATAGCACCGGTTAGTTAATGCATACTCTTTTTACTGCATCGGAAATTTCGAGATGGCAATATCTCACTTATTACATCTCACCAATTTATATATATATATATATATATATATATATATTCCAATATTTCTCTTCTTTCCGTTGTATGTTCTTTCTTTCTGATTCATTTCTTTGCAGGAAATTATTACTGGAGCAGGCCATACTAGTGCCGTAGACTGGTGGGCTCTAGGTATGCTTCCGCTAAAAATGGTGAATTTAATAACTTGGTTGATTTCTTTTTTTCTGAGAAGAAAATATTTTCTTATATTCTGTATAATAAAAATCGGAGATATTAGCTGAATAATAGCCCAGGAATATTTTAAGATGTAACTCATTGACTTTTTGATAGCTGCATGCCTATCTTTTTCTGTTCTTGTGTTCTATTCTGCAGGCATTCTTCTATATGAAATGCTCTATGGATACACACCGTTTAGGGGAAAGACGAGACAAAAAACATTCGCCAACATTCTTCACAAAGATCTGAAGTTTCCAGGGAGTACGCCGGTGAGCTATATGAAACCGATTATTTCAAAATTTAAGCTGATAGAAAATTATATAATTAATTATTTACACTATAATACACAGAATATATAAGCTCATTAAGAGTGTGAATTAAATGCACGCATACCGAACTTCGTCTAATATCAGACAAGTATTTTGATAAAAAATCGTAGTACGACCATTGTCGTTAATAGCTTAGTTTTTGTTCTTGTTGCAGGTAAGTCTCCAGGCGAAGCAATTAATGTACAGGTTGTTACATAGAGATCCCAAGAACAGATTAGGCTCGCACGAAGGAGCGAATGAAATCAAGCGGCATCCATTCTTCAAAGGCTTAAATTGGGCTCTAGTTCGCTGCATGGTACTTTTTAAAATCTCCAGTTTCAATACTGTATAATATAATAGACTTCGGACATAATTTTTCAAGAACAAATAAGCCCGGTAAAAACTGTAACGTAACTAAAGTTGTGAGTGTTTATTTAGTAACTTTCGGAAAAAAAAGAATCAGTTTTCTGAAATATTACTCTCTGTAACCAGAATCCTCCCGAGCTCGAAACTCCTCTCTTCTCAAGCGAAGCCGAAAAGGAAGATAAAGTCGTGGATCCTGAGCTACAAGATCTACAAACGAATGTTTTCTAAGAGGTCTCTTTTTTTTTTTGTTGTTTTCATTAATTTTTCTTGTTGTGTACGAAATGTTTGAAAAACATCTTTTTTTTTTCTAAACTGGGGATTTATTTTGCAGATCTAAGTGCGTTAAAGAGCATCGACAACGGGGAAGACTAAAAAAGAAGAACTCAATTAAAGTCTTTCGCAAGCTTCACCTAGTTTCGTGAAATGATCGTTTATAATTCGGTATTTTACATTTTTTTGTATCAATTGTAGCCGAGGCAAGCTGGGAGAGGAATCTGAGGTTCTTCTTCTTCTTCTTCTTCTTCTTCTTCTTCTTCTTCTTCTTTTCTCATTTGTTTATCATTTTGTAAAATATGTACTGTGTGCATGGTGTAATTCTGGTGTAATCTATGTTGGCTTGTGTTTTGGATTCTGTAATTGAATTTGTTCGTTTTAAGGTTTCTTACAGTCTGGTTCAGTTCTGGGCTATATATTTACTTTTTCCCCCTCTTCTAAGACTCTTCATAAATCGACGTTTTCTAAGGTGAATAATGTCTTATTTTATTTTTAAATTAATATATCAAAACTAGATAAAAGAGTCTCACTCACTATTTATCTTATTCTATCCATCCAATTAAATGTAATCTTAATTATTCAATTACAATCGGTCCCATAAAATTGTCATCATCCTCTTACCTTTAGTTTGGGAAATTTTTAGGAGTTATTGCAGAGAAGGAAAGGAGGAAAATGAGAGTAAGTGTAGAGGAAGGGAATATATATATATATATATATATATATATATACATGTATTGTTTGAAATTTTATGTTAAAAAATAAAAGAAAAATAAATAGAGAAAAAATTATTTGGAGTTGTAAGATCAACGGATTAACAAATGTTTATGTAACATTCAGAGTCCGAAAATTAGTCCGAGATAATTTTACGGATTATAGAATATATATATATATATATAATAATTAAAATTTTTTA